CGCCCCCTGCCTGCCCCGGCCCCGCCTGCCTCCAGGATCTCAGTGTCCTTGCCCTCGTGAGCCTGTCCCCATCACCCACCCCTCCCAGGCTCAAAGCCTGCCTGTTCGGAATCCCACCTCCCTGCACACAAGCTTGGGGCCTTGGTCTAGCTATGTACCGTCCAGCCCCAGTGTCCCGTCTAAAGTGGAGGGAATACGAAATGCTGTATGCCAGGCCCAGGGCGTGCAGAGCCCGGCGCGTGAAGGAGTGGTGGCTGTGTCCTGCAGTGGTGACCGCAGCGCCCCCGTCATCTCCCCTGGCCGCCTGTGGCCTTGTCACTGGCGAGCTGGCTCCAGGCCGCGGCTGATGGCACCAGTCCTGGGCACTGGAGCACCAGCCAGACTTACCTCTTTGCCCCATAGAGTTTCATCACGGAAGAGGTTGACGAGATGTCGGTAAAGCAAGGTGAGCCCTCTCCTTCCCGAGAAGCTCCACTCTTCTAGAGGTTTCCCAAGGCACGGCACTCCCTGACTCCCGCCCCGCCCTGTGATCCTCCCAGGTGCGGCCTCCGCGTTGTGGCTGCTCCTGGCTGCCCCTCCGTACCCACTCCAGGGCCTGTGCCTCTCCATACCCACTCCAGGGGCTTGTGCCAGGGTTTATCAGTAGCATGCATTTTACTTCACGCCCAGTCATCTCTGCATGCAGCCTGGCAGGGGCTCTGGGTCACTGATCAGCCTCCAGGCCTGTCACCCGTATCAGCCACCTAAGCACCTTCGGCTGGGTCTGCTCACGGCCCCCACCTCCAGAGTGTGGTTCCCACTGTGGTCTGAGGGCTTGTCTCTGGGCTGGGGCTGGTGAAACGCTCTCCCTCCGCCCTCTCAGCAGTTCCACTCCAGTTAGATACGTCCTGCTGGCCCCCCTGAGGTGAACGGGTAGCGAGGTGAACGGGCTTTATGCGCACGTGTGTGAGGCAGCGCCTGTCCTGGCCTCAGGCCAGGGTGGTAGGGCCTGGGGTGGGGCCTCAAGGGGGGCTGTGCTGCTTGCTTGGGGAGGCAGAGAAAATGGTTAATAGCCATCAGCGTGTGAAATACTCATGTAGTCAAAACAACACAAAAGGCCCAAGGTAAGGAAGGGAAGAAGGAGGGAAAGAAAATGAGAAAAGGAACCGTCCAGATCTGGGGCTCCTGCGGGGCTGGGTGGGAAGTCGGGGCGGGGTCTGGGGCTGCGAGCTGTCAGGTGGAGGGACATGGGCTCTTGGGCCTTGGGGTTGCTGACCTCGCCCTCCTCACTGCAGGGAGCCAGGCCCCGTCCGTTGAGAGCATCCTGCCGGACAGCAGCCCCGAGCACCATGGCCTCGGCCCGCCCGCCGACATCTTCCTGCCAGGTACAGCACCTGCCCCGTGGGCGCTGGGGGCACCTGCCCAGCTGGGGCCCTGTCTGTCCTCGGTGCACGCAGCAGGGCCTAGCTGCTGGGAACCAGGCCGCCTGTCCCCCGGCTCCATGCCTGGGCCTGCCCAACGCAGGCCTCAGGCCAAGGCAGGTTCCACAGCCACCCTCCCTGCAGCACTGGCTCTCTGGAGGAGAGGCCAACTGCCAGGCCCTGCCCACCCCAGAGTCTCCATCTGTGGGACAAGTAGTGGGGAAGGCCCCCCGTGGGCCCGGGGGACACCGGGCCAGGTGCTGGGTGACCCAGCCGCAGGGTCTCTGCCCTCGGGGGCTACCATCAGGTGGAGGTACAAACAGAAAGTCCGAAAGCAAGCATGTGACTTTGTATCAGGTGAGGGTTCTAGGACAGAGAAAGCAAGAACAGCGACCTCTGGGCCACCCACCTGTCCCAGCAGCCAGCCAGCTCCCGCAGCGCTTGGGAAGCAGCGTGTACCAGGTCAGGGTTTGGAGGGCAGGCTGGGCGCCCAGGTGCCGGCGGCGGGGTGGGGGGGTCTTGCTTTTCTCTCTCCCCTTCCCAAAGGCTTTTTAGGCCAGGCTCCGCTGGCTCAGCCCCTTGCCCTCTGCCCTGCCGGGTTCAGATTTCTCTGCTTCAAACCCTGGGTTCCAAGGAAGGGCAGTAGGAGCCGGGGTGGGGATGGGGCTCTCAGGTCATTTGTTCTGGGCTGCTAGACACCACGGAAGGTACTGGAATCCCGAGACAGAACTTCCGAAGCAGCTGCCCGGCAGAGCCCGGCACCCCGGGCCTTGTCCTGGCGCCCTGAGCCTTGTCCCAGGACCTCCCACGGCATGGTCCTCCCAGTTGCCTGGTCAGCCTGGGGTGGGGGTGGCTATGGTGGGCTTTGGTGTGAAAGACCCCTGTGCAAAGGGCCCCTTAGACCAGGCGGGTGTCCGGGTCCCTAGATGTGAGAAAGGAGGGTGGTTTTTTCCTGGCGCAGAACAGCCTCCCCCAAATATAAACCTGCGGGTGAAAGCCAAGTTTAGGACCTGCAGTTGGAAATAACATGGGCATTCAAGTAAGCTGTGTCAGAGACGTGGGGGCAGGAGGAGCGCCCGCTTCTGGGAGTCAGGAGTGTGATTTCTGGCCCTGCAGGATGCCACAGGCACCCGGAGGGAACCCGCTCCTTGCCTCTCCCGGGGGCCTGCAGAGCATTGGGGCATCCGTGGCACCAGCGCGGGCTCAGCTGCTGCACCCGCGGGGGAGGCCAGAATGCGGGGGTCTCGGCCTCCTTACGACAGTGGGCGTGGGGGTAGTGGATGGCGGAAGGTGAAGACAGCAGGTGGGGAGCACATGAATCATAGCCCACATGAGGCTGGTTTCCAAAGCGGGAACATCACTTGTGTCCCCGCTGCTCCACTTCCTCATTCTGACGCCAGCCACCACATGGCATGTTCTAACTCTAACCACCCAGAGTCAGGTCTCCAGAAGACCGACTGTCCTTTCAGCCTCTCTGCTGGCTCTTGCTGCCCCCAGGGGGTTCAGTAATTCCCTAGGATGACTCACAGAACTCACGGAAACTAGGACCTGTGCTCGTGGTGACTCATTTCTTGTACCTGAAAGGACACAGGCGTAGAGTGACATCAGGCAGGGTCTAGGGGAGGTCCTGGCTCCAGGCCTCTGTTGTCCCAGGGATGTGTCATTCCCTCTCATCTGTGTGGGTGCTCTCACCAATCCAGGAGGCTCCACCTGAGAGCCCCAAGGTCCTGGGTCCCCTAGTCCTTGGGACCTCAGTGAGTGCGCCTGACTGGGGCCTTAATGTATAGTCATGATCAGTCCAGTCAGTGGATGTCCATGGCTGCATCAGGCTCCCTCCCTCCCTGGGGCCTGTGTAGCTCTCCTGATAGTTTACATTTGGGCAAGTGTGGCCTCCCTGTTATAGAAGACGCCCCTGACTCTGGGTGCTCTCAGGCTGTTCTCAAAAACCCAAGACAAAAAGCCAGACTCAGTTCTGTGTGTGAGCGTGTGCTGGGCTCCAGGGCTGTGAGGCAGGTTAGGTAGTTTTACTGCCAGCAGCCCAGACAGAGGAGGGCTCTTGAGGACTCTGCTTTTCTCCCTGTGACTTGCTCTGGGCTGCAGAAGCCTTCCCTGTGTTCCCTTGGCTCTGGGGACCAACAGCCATCAGAGGCCCCATTGGCTGAGTGACAGCCTTTGGGGAAGCGCGCGGTGGTCTTGTCTGTGCGTACCCTTGTAATACCTGTTACACGCGTGACCTGCTGACACCCACGGCTCAGCTCCTGCCTTTTTTCACTTCACGGCCATCTCGGACATCTTTTCAGCATCTGTGTTTGCGTGTGTGCGTGTGAACACACACGCATCCTTCCTTTTCATCGACTACGCAGTTGTCCCCTGATGGAGGTAGCATAACAGTGAATTTCTGTGTCCCCTCTTGATGGAAAAAGAGGTGATGTAGGGAATATATGTAAAATAGGGAAAACCCAGGTCCTCTGTGTCCCAGACCCTGTGGGGTGGGGGCCCTCCTGGGCCTCAGGGCTCCGCCTTCCCCCCTTGGGGTCAGCCCCCAAGCAGCCCCAGCAGCCGGCCCTATACCCTCACTTTTAAGACACAGAAGCGGCACCGCGGCATCTGTATGCCCTGTGCAGGGGGATCTGCCCTCTCTGGGCCGCTGGCCAGCGGGCATGGTGTGGGCAGGCCTGGTGTGACCCTGGGCCCATTGCTCTGGTTTCTGGGTGTTGGTGGATTCCCCCTTGCTTCAGCAGATCTCCATGTGGGCCACAGGCAATGTGTCGCCCTCCCCCGGCTTCTCATGCAGCCCGTGCAAGCGCTTTGCTAACTGAGTTCCGTCTGTCTTTCCTCCTCTCTGACAGCCCTGGGTGCCGACTCCTGCTCTGTTGGTTTAGAGGAGTAAGCTGGTACGTCGCCTCCTTTCTTCACTTTCGAGGTAGTTCTTACGGGCATCCTGGCAGGGCGGCGAGAGGAGCACCTTCAGGCTTTCCGGTCTTCTTCCTCATCCACGGCGTCCCCCTTGGGCCTAGATTCTGAATCCGAGCTCTGACGGGCACCTTCACCCTGAAGAGGAACTCTGGGGCGGGCTGGCGGAGTTTGGAGCCAGAGGTTTTCCCACCTGGACTAGATGAGCCAGTCAAGTCTTCTAGCCATTAGGGTCCCCAGAGATGGTGCCTCAGCCCAGGCGTGCGTGGGCCACCCAGGCCTGCTGTCAGCAGGGCTTCTGTGGCACCCATGTGGGAAACATACTCCCGGGTGTGGCTCACCCGACCCGACCAGGCTCAGGTGTCCCTTTCTGTGTTGATTGGATGGCCAGTCTTGCGTCCCCACAAACACCTTCCTCTCCTCCTCGAGAAGTTTCTGACTGATCTTGTCTCTCTGTGGAGGTAGGGCCCGGCCCTTCTCTAAAGTTGGCCGCAGCCTCCATATCGGTGTGGGAGGTGCTCTTTGAGAGTTGGGATTTGTGTAAAACTTCCAGAAGTAAGAGATAGGACAGGCCTAGCTGCAGAGAATATTGAGCCCGTGGGCTGCGGGACAGCTGAGCCCCTGCGGGAAACACCTACTCCTTGCTGAATTAGAGGTCTGTGTCCCAGGCCACCAGGTGACAGAAGCATTTATTGGCTTGCCAGTTGAAGGAGCTTGTGGTGCCGAAGCATCAGGGTGGGTGGGCAGCGAGTGTGAGCCACCTGGCAGTCTGCGGCCCTGAGGAGTGTGGGCTGGCCCTGCCTGCCTGAGCCAGGCCATCCGTGTGAGCATGGCCAGGGGCAGACACGGTCAGGGACAGAGCACTGTATGGCATCATTGGGCACAGTCTGGAAATAAGACAGAAGGCCTTTGAGATAGCCCCCACTCCCCACAACGAGAAGCCTGTAGGGGTGGCTCTGAGCGGGGGCTCGGAATCCCTAGGGCTGTGTGCCGGCCTGGCGTCTGACTAAGCCCCATCCTGAGCCGTCGGAAAGGCCTTTACAGGACAGTGGTGGGTGGGAACCTGGGGAGTCCCACCCGAGAGAACCGTTGTTCTCCCCACACTCTGCAGGCACTCAGGACGCGGCCGCCCAGCCCTGGGCTCATGGAGGGTGGACCCCCGGGCCCGGTGGTGAGAAGAGCGGGCGAGGCTGGACCGGCGGCCGAGCATAACCCCTCTCTGCTTCCCACCTGCAGGATGCTCCGCCTCCACGGAGATGCCCCACGGCCTCGGCACCACTGGCCCACCCTGGCCTCTGCTGGGTGGCCCTCATCCCGACCCCGGGGCCACCGAGCTGACCCTCCTTTGAGAGCTGGCCCAGCCAGCAGCATGGAGCTCTCAGCTCCCCAGTGTTGCCAAGGGGCTGCCTGGGCCCAGTGCGACTCCGGCCTCCCACCTGCACGTGCCCACAGCCACCGGTTCTGAGGGCCAGCGGCCCTCGATCCAGGCACACATGGACATGACTGTCCCCTGATGCCCCTTTTTCTACGGTCGACGTGTTTGTAAATGGTACAGATGAAGGACAGCAGCTTTCTGCCGTTTGCTCTCGCGCTGCTGGTTGGCGGCAGGGCTGATTGGCCTGGGATTGGCGTGGCCCAGCCCCTAGCCGGGGGACCGGTGCCGGGAACTCGTATGACTGGTGGAAGAGCCTTTGCTGGCCATGAAGTGCCGTGTTGGGCCATGCGCTCTGCTCGCCTCTCCCCTGCTGGCCAGCTGGGGCCCTTGGGGCAGGCAGGGGTCTGGAGGCAAGGCTGCTGTGCAGACACAGGGTGTTCGCTGGTGGTTTCGGGGGGCAGCCTGCCCGCAGCCTCTTGGAGGCCCCAATCCATTTGCATCTCAGATGCCTCCACGTGGGGGCCTCCCGCTAGACCCGCCCACCCTGAGGGGCCCGCACGTCTGCCCCAGCTCTCCTGTGCCACGTCCGCATCCCTGTGCGTTTCTCTTTGACTCGTTGTCTGGGGCTCCTGGAGCGGACCTGCTGGGGAGCGGAGTCCCACCACAATGTTTTTTAGGGTAAACCTCTGAGCAGCGGAAGGATGATAGGGGCTGGCGTGGGACCTGGTGCTTGTAGGGTGAGAGCTGGCCCACAGGGGCCTTGAGCCAGCAGAGGTCCATGCGGCTCCCGGGGTGGGCAGCATCCTGGGACTCTCCCAGCCTCTCCCTGCCTGTGCACCTCTGGGCGCTCGGGAGAATCCGTTGATCAGACTTCTTTTCCTCCAGCTGATTCTGCACGTGGTGCCCTCACCTTTTCACAGCCCTGCTTGTCCCAGGCCGCCCGCCCGTGCCCAGCTCTTACGCCAGCCCTCCTGTCCTGCCGTGCTCAGGCACCCACCGCACTCACACACGTGTGCGCGCGCACACACAGGCCGGCGTCTCTCCTCTGCTCACTGGCCGTTGGTGTTGGAGCTGGCGCTCTGTGTGAAGGCCAGTGCTGGTTTGCCCATCTTGCTTCCGCGTGCTATCGCTTGTAATCTGATTGGCTAGTTTTTTGTCCGTTTTTACTGTGTATTTATAGTAATAAAATCATGCAGCAATATCCTGTCCTGTACTTCACGTGTGGCCACATGGCGATGCACTCCTCCCCCCACCCCCGGGCCCCCCAGCAGTTTCGTGGTCAGGCAGCAGGGCGTGACTGGTCAGTGCTGGCTCTGGACACCCTCACAGCCGTGCGAGCACCACTTCGGGGCCCTGGCCAGTGGCTCAACCCTCCTCGGCTTCACTTTCCCCATGTGTGAGGTGGCAGTGGCTGTTGGCTGTCCCAGGAAGGATGAGGGTTCAGTGGGTTATGTGTGGCCCGCTGTTGGCGACCACATGCAGGAGTTGCTGCTCCTGGCCACTCTCTCCCTCATCATCACTGCCAAGTCTTGGGTGGAGGGAAGGGGACCCGAGGGGTGGTTTGAGCCCACTTCTCCATCAGACAGGGCCTGTCCTGGGCGTTCCTGTCAGCGAGACGCGCTGAATGCGGAATGGATGCTGCTAACTGTGAGGTAGGAAGCAAACGGTTGACATGATTGAGGTCACGCAGGACTTGATTTGACCAGGGAGGTTGGGGGGCTGCTTTGAGGAGGCAGGATTTAAGTCAAGACCTGGAGGACGAGAAGAGCCCAGAAGAGTGTGTCCAGGCAGCGGGGCCAGCAGGTGCAAAGGTCTGGAGGCCGAGAGCCTAGGGCGCTGGTGGAGTGGAAGTACCGCAGGGCAGGGAGAGCTGGAGTTGTATTATAAGGACTGTGGGGACCAGCAGAGTTCTTAGGCAGGGCAGGGGCCTGCTCTGATCACCTAGGTAAAGCTCCCCTGGGATCTCATGAAGAATGAGGTGAGGGGGCAAGTGTGGCTGCCAGGAGATGGGCTCCCAGCAAGAGCCCAGCCCCTCCAGTGGGACGTCATGGTCCTCACATGGACCCACCCCAGCGCTGAGGGCACCACTGCCCCCCGTGTGGGCTCCAGCTCCCTCCTCTGCACATACGGCCCCTCTAACCCCAGCCCAGGGGGTGAGGGCAGAACCCAGGTTTGTTCTTGGTCCAGCAGGTATTCAGGCCCTCGGTGTCAGACGGCTTCTTGGCTGGACAGAATTGAATTCCCCTCCGTACCTCCCAGACAGACCCGCCCTTCAGGCTTGTCAAGTATTGGGGTGGGCTGGCTTGAGGGAAACCATGCCCCTACGACCCTACTCCCACAGGTCCTGGGTTCTGCTGCCTGGAGGGGGGCCGTTCCCCTCGCTGGCCTCTCCCTCTCAGACCTGCTCACACACTCTGGACTCTGGTCTCTGCCTGAGGCTGCCCCTTCTGAGCCCTGCCCCCTGGCAGGTGGCCACAGCAGGGGACAGGCGCCCTCTCTGGGTTTTTTCCCCCACCTCTGGCAAACCAGTACCACAGACCATGGAGTGAGTCCCAGTGGACCCTGTCCACCCTCTGCCCGTCTCTGCCTCCCTGCTGCCTCAGCCTGCTCACAGCAGCCTTCCCGGTGCTAAGGACTGTGCACAGTGCCCCAAGGCTGCACCCAGTGGCCTCCACCCTGCCCACCCATCCTGCGCGGACAGGTGGATATTCCAGTGATCAGCTCAGCAAGTTCACGCTCACATGGAGCTCAGCCTGCTGTGGTGAGGGGAGTGGCACCCTCAGGATTTGGGGAATCCTGTTGTGCCCTCTGTCTTCCCTACGCCCCCTGAGCCCCGGTGACTTCCTTTTCCTGTGTGGCACAGGTGGTAAGTACGCAGGCCCTCCCCCAAGGAGGTTTTCTGTTGTGGACACTGGGAGCAGGGATGGGAGCCTGGCTCTGTCACCAACTGCTGGGTGCCCTTGGGCACATCCTGCCCCTCTGCGACCCCCAGGCTCCTTGCCTGTAAACTGGGGAGAGCCCACTTCCTCCCACAGTACCACGTATACGGTGCCTGACTTGGAAGCGACTTGGGCGCAGGACTGGGACTTGAGTCACTTCCGGCCTTAGCAGGCTGGGTTGGGGGGTCCCAGGGTTCTTGTCATTCCCCCAGCTGGTAGGATTGAGCATGGGCACAGTGACGGTGGGGCAGGAGGAGCTGTGCGCGGCTTTCCTTGCTCTTCTGGAGTCAGACCAAGGACTGGGTCTTCGGACAAGTTAAGTGCTCGGCAGGTGGTCGCGCCAGGACTGTAGGGCTGTAGGCGTGCGTGCGTGGCAGGGAAGGTTGTCCCCTCTGGTGTCAAGTCTCAGCCAGCTGTATTCTGGTGGCTTCGGGGCAGGACGCCCTCTACCTGCGCGGGGCCGCAGGGACTGGGCTGTCCCTCAGGTGGGAAGGCTGCACGCAGGGCACTTGCTGGTACGGAGGTGCTGCATGCGGCGCGCCTCTGCGGTGGACGGGCCGTGTGCACGTGGCAGCGGAGCCAGGTCGGACTCCAGGGCCACAGGCGCAACTGAGGCGGGCTCCGTAAAGGAGGAGCTGCCACCACCACGGGTGAAGTGATGGGCTCCGGCCTTCCTGTCTCGGGCGCCGGGCTCGGGCAGTGCATCCTGGGACTTGTGGTTTCGTGGGCCGTGGGCGGGGCCATCGCTTGGGCTGCACGGCTATTGGGCGACGGCGAGGGCGCCTGCCGCCCATCCGTTTGCGCAACCTCCCCCCTCCCGATTGGCACAGCCTTAGTCAGCGTCGGCGAGGGGCGGGCCCCGCTGAGCGCCGGGCGAGGATTGGCAGGGCGCAGCAGAGGCGGGCCCGCGCATGCGCTTAAGAGGCCGACGCCGGTAGGTGGGGGCAGTGCCAAGATGGCGACAGCTCTGCCCGAGTTGAAGCAAATCAGCCGGGTGGAGGCGATGCGCCTGGGGCCGGGCTGGAGCCACTCGTGCCATGCCATGCTGTACGCCGCCAACCCCGGGCAGCTCTTCGGCCGCATCCCCATGCGCTTCTCGGTGCTGGTGAGGACGGCGGCGGGCGGGCCGGGGTCGGGGTCTCCGCGGCCCGGCCCGCCCGTGACCGGCTCCCCTTGCAGATGCAGATGCGCTTCGACGGGCTGCTGGGCTTCCCCGGCGGCTTCGTGGACCGGCGCTTCTGGTCGCTGGAGGACGGTCTGAACCGGGTGCTGGGCCTGGGCCTGGGCTGCCTGCGCCTCACCGAGGCCGACTACCTGAGCTCGCACCTGACCGAGGGCCCGCAGCGCGTCGTGGCGCACCTGTACGCGCGGCAGCTGACGCTGGAGCAGCTGCACGCAGTGGAGATCAGCGCGGTGCACTCCCGCGACCACGGCCTGGAGGTGGGGCCGCCGCCGGGCCCCGCCCTGCCCCGGGTTGGCTCTGGCCCCGCGGAAGGCACCGATGGGTAACACGTCCCGAGCGTCCCCTGGCCGGGCCGGGTGGGGTGTCGCTGTCTCAGCAGCGGGCTGGGGGAAGGGGCTTGGGGCTGGGATGGAGGGGCTGGGGCGCCCTCAGGGCTGTGTTACAGTGTCTGCCTTGCTGCCTGCCATTGCCAATCCTGGGAGTGGGGCGTGGGATGGGGGGTACTTGGGGTCGAGAGGGGTGTGCTCAAGGGCTGGGAGGGAAGGAGGTTGGGGTTGTGGCGGGGAGGTGCTTGGTGTTTTGTGAACTGGAAGGGCTGGAAGGGCTAGGTGTGACATGGGCTGTTTGGGGTTCACCGAGTGGAAGTAAGGAGCACGGGGTGTGGGTCGGAAGGGGTGGCAGGCAAGGTGGGCGAGGGGGGCAGAAGGGGCATGGGGGTCTTGGCTTGTGTCGGCCTTGGAGTGTGTTCAGGGGTGGTGTGACGCTCCAAGGGGAGCTGGCTGGTTTTGCCTCGTCGACCCAGGCCCCCGGTTTTGTGTCCTTGGCCCAGCAGCTTGCCAGGGGCTCACCTTCTGGCGGGGGCCCAACCCTGACTTCTCTTCACACAGGTGCTGGGGCTGGTGCGTGTCCCCCTGTACACCCAGAAGGACCGCATGGGGGGCTTCCCCAATTTCCTCAGCAACGCCTTCATCGGCACCGCCAAGTGCCAGCTCCTCTTCGCCCTCAAGGTGCTCAACATGATGCCCGAGGAGAAGCTGGTGGAGGCCCTGGCTGCTGCCACCGAGAAGCAGAAGAAGGCCCTGGAGAAGCTGCTGCCAGCATCCTCCTGAGGGGCCCTGCCCCTGGCTCCCTGTGCCCTCGGGCCGACTTGATCCCACGGAAGTGTGTCTCCTAGCGTGCGTGCGTGCGTGTTTGACCCCCCTGCTGACTGCCTGGGGCCAGTGGGCACCTCGTCGTCTTCTGTCCTGAGCAGTTCCCTGGGCCAGCTGGAACTCAGGTTTGCAGGGCTGGGCAGCCTGGGAGCACCAAGCCAGGCTCTCACCCACCCATGGTGCACACTGTCCTCTGAATCTCTGTCCCGGGGCAAAGGGAAGCCTCGGGCTGATTCCCTGGGTGTGTCAGTGCCACACTCTGTGGACAATCTGTTCCTGTAGAGGACACCCTTTTCCAGGTTGACTCATTCCTGTATCGCCCCAGGGCCTGAGAGCCAGGTGGGGTAGGATGTTGTACTGTTAGTTTTGGTTGTTGGATTTACTGGGTTCAACTTTCTCTTTGGCTGTGTGTGCACTGCAGTGAGGCTGGGCTTGGTGCCAGAGAGCAGTTGGGCCAAGGGCCCGCTGTGTGTGGCTTGTTGAAGAAGAAGAGAAATAAAGTAGCTCCGAAGCTGCTCTCCATGTGTTCTCCGTTTCGACGGGAGGCCAGGGCTGAGCCTGGGAGGTGCCAGGCCCAAGAAGAGACACTGGCTTGTCCCTCCTGTTCAGGCTAGAGCCAGCTGTGTCTGCATGCTCTCTGTGGTGCTCCCGGCCTCTGACGTCTGGGCCCTGGTTTGGTAGCTTCTGTGCTGAGGCTGTCAGAATTAGGCCCCCTTTCTCCATTCCCAGCACAAGTTGCTCAAGGAGACTGCCTGCATGGGCTGAGGACTCAAAACGGTGGTGAGGGCACTACAGGCTGCCTCAAACGGGATGTTTCCAGAGCCTTGCTGGCTGCGTATGTAAGCAGGGCCCCAGCTCAGCCTGGGTGTCCAGGCCCCCAGACAGCCCCAGTGAGAGCTCGAGGGGTGGGTAAACGGATGCCCTCCAGGGAGGGGCTCAGCTGTAGGAGCAGCCTGAGTCAAGGTGGACTCTGCGCTCACTCGGGCAGAGGGGCTGCCAGGCTGAGCAGCTGTCCTGGCTGAGGACCTGGGGGTTCACTGGGGCTGGGTCTCAGCCTGATGGCGGTGGCCATTACTGTGTGGCCTGTGGCCAGAGCTGAGCCTCTCACCAACTGATGTTAGATTTTATTTTCCAACAAATAACATGTGCTGACCAGGTGCTCCAGTCCGCACCCAAAGGTCAAACCTGAGTCTGGCGCCTGTGGTGTGGAGCCCACACTCTAGGCCAAGGCTGCCCGCACGCTGTGGGCCTTACCGCCAGTTCTGAGTGTGCAGGGCCCATCCCGCCTCAGTGCTGGCCCCGTGTGGCCTGTCCTGCCTCTGCCACTGCTCTGCGGGGCCCGGTCCTCAGCCCCCTGGGCCACCACTGCTCCCTGCCCACGACGTCCTTCTGGCGCACAGCTTCAGGGTGGAGTAGTCACCCAACGTCAGATTCTGAAAAGAAAAGTCCCCATGAGAGAAGGGGATACGAGGACGTGGTGCCCTTCCGCTGCCCGAGCAGAGCCCGCCCCGCATGCACTCACCGGCCCGCCTGACTACGGCTCCCGCCAGTTCTGTTTCCCATTTAGCACTTGCAGCTTCTCCAGGCTCTGGGTCACTGAGCACAGTGCCTGTCCTGGGGACGCAACGACAGTCACTGCTCTGCTGGTGGGGGGAACCCTCAGGGCACTAGGGATGGTGACCTTGAACCTTTCTTGGTGGGCTTCCCTGGGAAGGGGGCCTCCAAAACACAGGTGCTCTTGATGTTCGCCCAAGTGTGACCACAATCCCCCATCCCCTGCAGGAGCATGAGCCGTGGGCAAGGTGCACTCCCGGCTCGAGACTTACCCATCTCCCGGATGCAGTCCTCCAGGGCTCCTGAAAGCTCGAGGAGGCTCATGGCCTGCAGGGATGCCTGCCAGCCTTTGCAGTCTGCAGGGCAGAGGTCTGGTGAGCCTGGGGTCTGTGTCCTGCAGGCCCTGCCACTGTCCTGGGCTGCTGAGCTGTCCCCATTGGGCCCCCTGAGAGGCGCTATGTCAAAAGTTAGGGCTGAGCCTGGGAGAGAAACTGTGAGGCTCGAGTGGCTGGCCTGAAGAGAGGCGGCTGGATCGGTCTGCCACGGCCCACACTCACCTCTGCCTATCTCCAGCAACTAGGGGGGACAGGGCTCTCCCCGTCACAGGTGAGGAGAGCCTGGGTGCTGTGCATGGGGACCCGCGGAGGGGCCGTCAGACAGGACAGATGTGCGGAGATACCGGCATAACCCTACCTGAGGCATGTCTGCCCACCCGTATACCCAGCCCCGAGCCGGAACACGGCCCCCTTACCAGCCGTGGGTATGACTGAGCCCAGGACTGTCCCTCCTGGAGACTCGCCCTGCCTCACCCGGGCCGACAGCTCCGCTTGGCAGGCTCTGTGGACACAAGACGCCATGGTGGTGAAGGAGGGTCCCAGGGCTACAATCGGGGCCGACACCCTCCCAGCATCAGGCCTTAGAGTGAGGAGTGGGCACCGACAAACTCCACGGGGTCTTGAGACCTGGGCCGGCCCCACAGGGACCAACGCCCAAAGGAAACGGGTGTGGCAGTGAGGCGACCTGAGGACAGCCCCGTGGGTGGACAGCAGGAGAAAACACGGTGACTTGGCATCCAGTCCCCCGGAAGCTACTCTACAAGGGGCCACTCACTGCAGCTGATCCAGGATGAGGGTGGCGGCGCGCGCGAGGGCCTGGGTCTCCTGCAGCTGGGCGTGCGCAGCCTTGCGGGCACTGTCTTGTTCCAGGAGGCAGCTCTCCACCACGGCCCGCAACTCCTGCTCCTGCGACACCTGGCCCCGCACGGCCTCCACCTCCTCGCAGCGCTGCGGCAGAGGGTGCAGCTGTGGGGGGCTGGTCCTCCTCCCCCTGGGGCCAGGTATGTCGCTGTGTTTTAGACCCACTGACTCTCCCTCCCCTTGGCTCTGGGAGGCCTCTTCTCATACCCATCTCCCTCCCTACGGCCCCTCATGGTTTCCAAGCACACCACCTCACCCTCCTGGTCTTCTCAGCTTTGTTCCCGCTGGACTCCCACCCCCTCTTGGGTATCCTCTGTCCTGTGCCTCCCTCTCCCCCAGGCTCCTCGGCTGACCCTCTGGGGTGTCTGGCCCTTTTCTGCAGATGCAGCTCGGCCCCTCGTCCTGACACGCGCTCACCTTGTGCAGCTGGATGGCCAGCTCCTGCATCTCGGCCTCGAGCCGGTCGGCGTAGGCCAGCTCCAGGGCGTCCCCAGGGGGGCGGGCACTGCTGTGCCAGCGGGCAATAGCAGAGGTCATCTTCCTCTTGGGCCCAAACAACCTGCAGGATGAGGAGAGAGGACAGCGGTCGGCGTCTGTGCACGAAGACCATGTGTCATCCTCTGCCATGACTGTGTCCTGGGGACACAAGGTGGTGAGAAAAGGGCCAGCCCCCCACTGGCCCCTCTGCTGCTTTCCCCACACACAGTCCCTGCTGGCCTGCTCGAGGCATGGGCAAGGCCTGCCTCAGCCAAGTCTGGAAGCTTCCAAATGTTAGCTGGTGGTAAAAGTCTGAGGGCAATCGGCCAGGCCATTCTTAGGAGCTGACTTGAGTGTGTCCAAGCCAAGGGTGGCTGAGTGGAAGAGGGGAGCTGGCTCTGGAGGAAGAAGGCCGACTTCTAGACCTAGGATGTGAGAACCGACACCGGCCTAGCACGCTGGCTGGGACAGTGGGGTGGGGCCCTCCACACTCACGTGATGCCGATCTCCTTCAGGTCGCTCTCGGTGAGGGTCAGGAAGATGCGGAGGTCCACATCCTGCTCCTCAAACACCTGCAGGTACTTCAGACACCCAATCTGCTCTAGCAGTGAGGCAAGGTCCTGGAGGGCGAGACGGGGCCAGGCCAGCTCAGGCACGAAGCACAGAGTCGGGGCACCGAGCCACCCTCCTGCTGACCACGCAGCCCCCTCTGGGCCCTGCTGGTTCCCCACGTTCAGCACCAGGAAGGTGATCTGTCCCCGTGGCTGCAGGCAGAGTAGAGAGGCCGGGGACACAGGGAGACACCCCTAGATGGTTTCCGACGAGAACCTGAGGACCCCGTGTATGTGATGAGTCATTTCTCTTGCTGCTTTTAAGATTCTCTGTCTTGGGCTTTCAGCAGTTTATGACGTGTGTAGATGCGGACCTCTGAGTTTATCCTACTAGAAGTTCGCTGAGTTTCTTGGATGTACAGGTTCATGTCTTCCCTCAAATTAGAAGCTTCTGGTTGCCGTTTCTTCAGATACCTTCCTGCCCTCTCCTCCTGGGACTCCCACAGTCTGGGGCCTGGTGGTGTCTCGCAGGTCTCCGCCTCACTCTTCAGGTTTTGTCTTTTTTCCCTTCTGTTCTCTCTCCCGTTCTCTCTTCTTCCTGCTCAAATCTGCTTTTGAACCCGTCTGGTCAATTTTCCATTTCAGTCACTGCGCTTTTCAACTCCAGAATTTCTCTCTTTATTGGTATTTTCTGTGTGGTAAGCTATCACTCTCCCACTTTAGCCGTCTGAAGACAATCAAGACAGCTGATTTCAAGTCTTTGTCTAATTAGTCCAGTCAAGGTCTGGGCTTCCTCAGGGACAGTGTCTGCTGATTGCTTTTTTATCTGTGTATGAGCCATACTTTGTTTCTTGGCATGTCTTGCATTTTGTTGTTGAAAACTGAACGTTTTAAATAACATAATGTAACTAGAAATCTGTGCCCCTGCTCCTGCATGTCATAGATGCTGTTTGTTAGTGAATTATTTCTGAAATAATTCTGTAAAGTCTATGTTCTTTGTCATGTGTGGCCACTGAAGTCTCTACATGGTTAGCTTAGTGGTCAGCTAATGACTGCACAGAGATTTCCGTAAACATCTGGAACCAGTCTTAGCTGAGGGGCTCTGGGTGTGTTGGGGCACACCTTCAAAATTCAGCCAGGCTGTTGACAGCTCTGCCTTAGGCTTCACTTCTTGCTTGCTCAGAACCTCAAGGTCATTTAGAGGTAAGAACTTAGGGCCTTATCAGATCTTTCCTGAGCGTGCGCGTTGCCCTGCAAGCTTGCGGCCTTCTACATTTTCAGTAATGTGGCGGAGCTTTTCCAAGTGTCGGGGAACACCTCATTCCTCAGCTTCCTTTTAAGCCTTTTGGTTAGTCTGTTACTTGCCTCACCTGTCACCTAGCATCTCAGGCATCTGCAGAGTTAAAACACTTGTCTGTAATTGTCACCAAATGCCCCCACCTCCCAAGGAGAAGGCTTTCTTTTTGTGTTGGGTGGACAAGATCAGAGTCAGGTCAGATACAGCCAGCCATCATTAAGTATACAAAACATGTCTCACAAATCACAAAAAGTGCCATCGTCCTTACCTGGGGTCCTGAATAGGGGGACCTCTGGGTTTGGGGGATGGATCCTGGGGAAGAGGCTGCCCCGGAGGTTGCGATGCTGGGAGGCCACTGGCTGTCACTGTTGCTGTAACGGTTCTTGGTCTTCACATAGCTTTTCGTTTGCTTGCGAACTGAGCTTTTACGTGTGTGATCTGAATCCTGGGGCAAGAAGGATGTGTTTCAGGAAATCCTGACGTAACCCGGAAGGACTCACAGCTAGCACGGCTGTGTCCGGACTCTGCCCTCTGCCCCGTGACCAGCTTCTACGTCCTCATCTGGGCCATCTCCCTCACAGGGGGCAGGGGCGGCTTTGAAACCCGTCATGAAACCTCTCCCCACTCGCCACACAGAGGCGTCCTCGGTGACTCCACTGCGGTCTGCAACCAAACTCAGGCGGTGCCGCTAGAGCCCAGGCCCGGAGCCCCCACTTATGAGCAGTAGATGCTTGTTACCACCCTTGCTTACTCAAGCTGCTAGGCTTCCCCCATGATACCAAGAGAGGAGACAGGAAATCAAGGAAGAAAGAATCTTCACCTCATTGCTCTCCAGAGAGGCCTCGCTGCTGACTCCCTGGGCCTGGGCCAGCCCCTCACTGCTGCTGCTGCGGGCAGTCCCACGCTTCGTACAGGAAGTGTGCCCCTCTGGTAACGGTGAAGACAGGAGGACGCTGACCCCCGGCCTCTCTCAGGGTGACCACAGAACGGGCACTCCAGCCCCACGGCACTCATCTACTTCTTAAACAGTGTGACGTTTTCACCCATGCAGTGACGACTGCCTGTCCCACCCCCCTCCGCGCACTCGCAGGCAGGGCTTTTTGTTCAAGCTCTGACAACAGTGCTTGGCACACAGTGGGCACTCAGTAGCTGCTGAATGAGTGAATGCGTGTCCTTACAACAAGACACTTCCTGCCAGGAAGACTGGTACGAAAGCCTCTGAGGGCTTCCAAATCAAGGGGCTAACCCTGTCTGTCGGGATGACGCCCCCTGACGCCACACAGAGACACTGCACTGGACGCGTCTCCTCGCCTGTCCCCACAAGGCCCAGGGCCCTCAGTATTGTTCACTGTATCATCTACTGGGTGGGCAGCGGGGTGGGCGTGCATACCCCTGCTGCTGCTGCTGCTGCTCTCCACGTCACGGTCGTTGATGGGGGAGGTGACGTCCCGGTAGCAGAGGCCCTCCTCTTCCACAGGGTTCTCATCACTGCTGTTGAAGGTGACATAGCCCTGTGGAGGCACCTGCTCTGTGTACAGAAAGGGGCAGGTAAACCCAGACGAACAAGAAGAGAGATGCAGGCGCCTCTGCAGGGCTCTCGCTGTTGGAGAAGACCCGGGGCTTAGGCAGGCAGGGAGGAACTCGGAACTCCGTGCCCACTGCCTCATCTGCTCTCCTCAGTGCCTGGGACGCACCTGCTCTCTGCACTTTCCCCGCTGAGAACAGGCTCTGGGGCTCAGCGACCAGCAAGTGTGGCGTGGAGCCAGGCCTGGAGCCGCTAGCCTGCTGCCCCCCCCCACCCCCCCGACTAAACGCGGGCACTTCTTAACCCTTTGGTGACCAATTATTTTCTCCTTTGAATTTTTTGTTGATACTATGTGTTTTCACTAATGGAAGGCATGCTGATTAAAGGACCAATTCTGAATTTCTGTTGTCAGTTATGTATGGATTTTGATACCCATTATCTGGGGTCATGTGTCCCAGCGGATGCCAGATGTAATAAATCCTACTGATATGAGTCGATTGATGTGTGGTTAGATAACTTATAGGAGTTCATGTCTCTTGAAAAGTACCACTGCAGCGCATTATTCCTTACTGGAAAGGCATTATTTACATAGTGAGGAGGCTTATCTCACAGAAATAAAGGCAAACCTGTCAAAAGTTTAGAAAATTCACATATCCGAGAGGCATCACCTAAGACAATGCTCAAATCCACACAAAAATGAGGCTCCCACTCAGGATTTTTGAGTTTCACACGTTTCAAAAGGCTCCCACCTTGAGGCTAAATGCATTAAAATCAGGCTACCCCCTTTCCAAAGAACTCCAGAGGCACAGAAAGTGGTTGGGATACCATGTGTCCCACGCGTCTCTAAAGGGTTAAGCTAAAAATTAAGAAATGGTGAATTGTAATCCCAGATTCCACAGCTACAGAAAAAGACTAGCGCTAGGTGTTGTCTTCAGCTAGAAACATCTAATGCCACACACACCAGCCTTCATCCTTCCCTGAGACTCTAAACAGGCGTTAGTGGTGTTCCTCCTCGGGTCAATCAAGCCCAGCCAGAGATCCCACTAAACAGGAAGGTAAAGGTAAAGTGTCCTGGGCGAAAAATTAACAGCAGTCACACAGACTTCATGCCTTCCATGGATCTGCCTGATGAAAATGAGCAGAGAAGGCAGAACACAAAACCAGACAGTGTAACTCTTTCTTAAAATTGTTAGCAAAGAAAATACGCGCACTTAGAGAAAATTCAAATACGATCACAAAGTATAAGGAAAATCTTAAGTCCCCTGAAATGTCACCGAGAGAGACCCATCAGCATCCCTTCGGTGAACATTCTTCTGTACTTGTGGGTATCACTCCATAAAAATAACTGCCCAGACAGGCTTGGGCTTTGTATTCTTTTGGTAATTGGAAAGGCTCCTGTGTTTAGGTAGCACCCGCTGGGTGGCTATGCAGGTCAATCACACATACACTCTGGGGATAAGACCCATCCTGCCTATCCCCCCACTACACCTCAGGGTGGGGACAGGTAGCATGGACCCCTCAGAAGGACAGACTGCTGCTCAGAGAGACAACGACTCAGTCCCCGAGCTGTGAGCTCAAAAGCACAAAAGCCAGGATGCCCGGCGGCTCCCAGCACCTGGGGGAAGCTTGCCCGCAGCTGGGGGAAGGGTTTCTCCAGTCCCCCAGTCTGCCCACCCCTGAGAATGCAGGAAGAAGGCCTGTCTGGAGTTCTCAATCCAGCACAAATGAATTTGAGCATCCCAGGACCGTACAAGGGAATCGCATTACTCGTAGATCCTTGACAGAAACATGGCCGCCTCAGTTGGGGCAAGTCTCCTCCTACCCAGGCTTCAGAGGGGCTTGCTCATGAGAAGGGCCTATCCAACCAGCCCGCTGGACCAGCAGCCGCGGCCTGGCCCCAGACGGTGACAGCCATCAAAGGAAGATGTCACTCATAACTGAGTCCGTCCACTCGGTAAGGCTAGAGCAAAAAAGACAGCACCACACCTAATTCACCACTGCTCCTACTAACTCCTACTAACTCACCACCGCTCCTACTAACTCCTACTAACTCACCAC